CACAGTTAGCAACGAGCTGGTGAACATGGCAGAGGAGCATTTAGCAGCTCAAGAGTTCGTTGTTTCCCTCAGTAACGGGTAGAGACTCATTCAGTGCTGATGTTGCTCCGTCTGCTGGATCTATAAATAGTTAGTTGGTAACATTCACCACAACAGCTTCATAAAGTGATATTTTACAGCCTGTTATTGAATCAGGAGCAACCTCTGATCCACGGTTTGGATGGACAATAGATACTTCCGAGTGTTTCAACCTTGTGTTATTGTTTCAATCTTTATGACGACAGGAAGCTCACAAGATGGTGCATGAAGCCAACGTCAAACAAGCAGCAGCGGAGAAACAGCTGAAGGAGGCTCAGGGAAAGGTGTGTGTGAAGTTGTTTCTGTTTGTGTACCGCAGTGGATGGTTGTAATGACCCTTCAGAGCTGTTTTTGAGTTGCTCTGTGGTTTGTCTCTATTTTAAATTGTTGATTTGAACTATAAACAGACGAAAATAGCATTTTTTTCTCAAAGTTATTGATTTTTCACGCTCTCTTTTTTCCTTTCTGTGTCGGGGCTCCCAGATCGACGTTCTACAAGCGGAGGTGACGGCGCTCAAGGCTCTGGTGTTGACGTCGACGCCTTCTTCACCGAACCGTCAGTTGCATCCACAGCTGCAGTCTTCAGGAACCAGAGGAGCGCACAAACATGTCGGGGGCCACATCCGCAACAAGAGCGCCAGCGGAGCCTTTCCCTCCTCGCTTGGAAAACCAGAACCCTCCTCGGTGTCTGTTCAGCCGGTGGCCAAAGAGGACCGAGAGGTAAACCGGATGACGTCTAAACACTTGCCCCTCTTCTTCTTAAAGTATGTTTCCTCAACTTTAGACTCGTTGTTTCTTCCCTTTATTCCTGTTTCCTGTCACTCGAATCTGTTGCCTCGAGCCAAGTTCTCTTTGCTTCTTCTTTTCTCTCGGCACTAACCTCTCCCTGACTTGTTGCTCTCTGTCCCCGGTGTCTCTTCCTCTCTCAGCCTGCTGTTCCTGCTCTCCTCTCTCTGATACTCTGTCTGGTCCCTGGCCAGTCTGTCAGTGTGACCTTTGACCCTTACTGGCAGGGGCAGGGGCGAGGCACTGACGGCCGACAGGTAACCGCATCCTTTCAACCGGGACTGATCAGTCTTTCAGTGCTCTATAACTGTGTTTTAATGGGACGATGAGAAAGTTATTCCTCTGAGTTAAAGGAGGATAACAGAACGACGGTGTGCACTTTGAACGTCATCATTTTAATTCCCATCAGCCTCAGCTGTATGATAATTATAGGTTTATTGATCAATACCAGTAATAAAAGCTGCTCTGGCTGTTTTCAGCTGTTAGAAATAACTCTTGGATCTGTCTTTTTATCAGCCGGTTTATTGAAAATGTGAATTTATCTCGTCACATAGAAGCTTCTGTATCATAACAGGGTTATGAAGGATCAGGGACTGTAGCTGTTAACACATTAGAGGCAGTTTAATAGTTTGTGATGATGGTTTTCTTCTCGCAGATGGACTCCGTTCTCTATGCAGAGTTTTTGATGTGGAAGGAAAATCCAAGTCTCGAGCGCTCCTCGGCCTTCCTGAGTCGCATCTACAGAGAAGACATCGGACCCTGCCTCTCCTTCACGAGATCTGAGGTCAACATCTCACCACCTCCTGCATGTGTTATGGTTCAGTGTTTGAAGTTAACACTATCGATTGTCCTCCACAGCTGTCGCAGCTGGTGCAGAGTGCAGTGGAGAACAACTCTCTGACTGTGGAGCCTGTGGCCATGTCCGCGCTGCCCATGGTGAAAGCCTCAGCTATAGAGTGCGGCGGCCCTAAGTGAGTTATCACATCTACACATCATCCTGTCCTCTCTTTCACCATTCACTGTCAACACTGAAAATCCACTCTTTGGTTTTGTATTCTCTAATTAATGGTCATAGCTGAAGGTTCTCTGTCTTTACCACGTATCAGAGGGGTTTAATCAGCGGGCACATTTCTAATCACGGTCTGATTTAAACATCTTTTTCTTCCAGTGGCTTTAGGGCAGCAATAGAGACGTAAGTCCCCTCAGGAAACAATCACCTGTTCAGCTTTTCACTAACACAAATGACTGTAGCATGAAATGAAGTCTGCCTGTCCAGATGTCTGAAAATGTGAAAACAAATGTGTAAACTAATGATCTGCATGTGTGTGGGTGTATATTAATGAAACCTTTTCCTCTTCCAGTGACTAACTTTCTCCACTTGTGCACCACTCTTTTGTGTGTTCTCACTTTATTTAGCCTTTATTCAAAGTGTGTAGGTTTCACTGGTTCAACGTTTGCCGTGACAAAAACAATGACTGTCCACGTCTTGTAGCTGTGAATGTCTGACAGCCGATCTTTCCCTGTAGAAAATGCGCATTAAGCGGCATGTCACGCCTCTGCAGACATCGCATTAAACTGGGCGACAAGGGGAGCTACTATTACATCTCTCCCTCCAGCCGAGCACGGGTAGTTATGACTGTGTATCTGTAACCTTCAATAGATACTCTGCTGTTCACTGTTGCTACATGTGACCCTGTCCTTATTTAACCTTTCTAGATCACGGCTGTTTGCAATTTTTTTACTTATATTCGTTACATCCAGCAGGGCCTGGTGAGACACGATGGTAAGTTAACACAGACACATTGAAATGTTTTTTTTTCTGCTTCGCCAACAAGAGTTTTATTGAACTGACGGCTCTGCTGTCGTCTCTTTGTCCAGCGGAGCAGATGTTCTGGGAGGTGATGCGTCTCCGCAGAGAGATGACTGTGGCAAAGTTAGGTTTCTACCTCACTGACCAGGGCTAGAGGAAAGCCCACTGAAACACCAGGACAACATGATCCCGGGACCTGGATTATTCCCGGTCCTAATCAGGGTTAAACTGTGGTAACAAACTTGGATCCGTTTTTGTAGCAGAGGTTACAGCATCAGTGCTGCAGGTCAATCAACAAGGGAAGCAAAAACTGTTCATGTGCCACTTTTATGCAATAAGGCAGATAATTAAACCAGCACAGCTAGATGGGAGTAAAATAACTAATAATTTCAAAGAGAGAGATGTGTAAAATATATGTTCTGTTATACTGCAGGCCTCCAGTATTTCCCTCCACTGGTGAGGAAAATTGTTTCTGTTTCTGAACCTCCCGGGTGGAGAACACACAACCTCTCACGTTAATACGATAGATTGTATGTATCAGTTTTCAGGCGTTGGTCTGTTGAAAAGAGGAGCGCAACGCAGGAGGAAAGCAGTTTAGAGAGTTTAGTTGGTCTCTTACCTCAAGTATTACATATTCAACTGTAATGTAGTCTATTGTGAGATTGACAATAGTCGTGTAGTTTCACCACTTTCAACAGTTATTTTGGTTGTTTTCTTTATTTTTACATTAATATAATGCTAAACAGCGTTTCTTAGTTACTTTGAGTTATTGGCTGAATGAACACAGCCAGGACTTTTTGTCTCAGCATGGCCTTAATTCTGTTGCACTACCTGTCGTAGGTGCCTCATATAAAAAACATTAATGAAATGTAACAAACAGCTACATGTTAGCCTGGCCTGTACTTAATAATCAGATATATTGGTAATAAATTAGGTATAACACATCAACATAGTTTTACATTATAGTCAGAAAATGAACAAGCTTTAATACAAGTGATTGCAATATGCACAACTGTAGGTTTGCACGTCTGCAATGAACAGTATGTACATACAGTAAAAGCCATAAATGACTATGCATGAGTGCAGTACATAGCCATATTGTGCAATGTATATTGGTTGTACCTGATAGTATAGATTTATTATTATTATTAATGGCCAAGTTTTACAGAAAGCGGTCTCTTGAGGGTAAAAAAAATGAAGAATATTGTGTCAGAAAGTGCAATAACTGCTTATTAGCCATCATTAGGGCTTGGAGGTTCCCAGCCTCGTGTACTGATAATGAACGGTGTCTTCCAGTGTAAACACTCCATTAAAGACGAGGCATTGTAGCCTGATTGCAGAACATTTGTACTGTGTGTGATTTACAGGTATCGTTTGAACACAATCTGATAAAATGGATTAGCTGGTTTGACTTTGATGTCGGGTCTTTTGTAAAGTTTAGACTGAAGTTTGGGAATGACGAGTCATCACTGTAATTCTTTTAAAACCAGACACAGAAACCTGTTTCACTCAGGGCACGCCACTGATATGGCTTTAGATTAAGGTCACTGCCTGGAACAGCCTGGTTCTCCGCCCCATACACCCGCACCACCACGACCACCAACACACCAACACACACACGCACGCACACACACCACACACACACACACGCACACACGGACACACAGTTGCCTAACAGGTTTGTGAGCAGGAATCAGGCACAGGGATACTGAGACCATATCCCGCTCAGAGGGGCTTTATCGTATGAAAATCTGTTTTTGGAACAGACCAGTAAGAGTTTAGTTTCCGGATTGAAAAGACTTTTGTACACTTGTTATTGTGTTTTCATGGCCTCATCATACAGATTACCGCGTTAATAATAGACCTTAGTAAACAGTTTGACTCTTCGTTAATGAGTGAGTACAGTAAGACCGGTTAGTGACATAACGCGTAGTCAGAGGACAAAACATGCCATCATACGAGTTAACCTGCTCAACAACAGGAAGGATTTTTAATGTACAACATTGATTTGTTCATCTGTCGTATGGCTATTATAAATTAACAAGACAAAATATTCTACTAATAGACTGTTAAAAACAGGTCGTTGCAAAAATACTGAAGACAGAAAGATAATGTTGATATATATAATATCATTAGAACAAACGCTGACCAAACTCTTTTTAGTTTTTCCTCTGGCAACATCCAGCATTGACCAACTCTTCTTTCTTGGGGAAATATCTGCAAAACAGACATTTAGTTATTCATATTTCACTTTAAAACTCTTATGTTTCATTATGTTTCTGGGATAAATAAATAATTTCAATAATATTTATTTTAATTATCAATTTACTAAATATGCACCACTTTAGTAATTGTTACGTCTGTTCCCTTTCAGTCGATTCACTCGGTACAACACATATGGTACACACGATGATGATGATGATGAGCCGGACCTCAGTTTGGACTTACATGGTTTATCGGAGGATGAACGATAAATCCTTCACACTCTTAACGGTCAAAAACCACCAAAGGTTATCTACAGCTCTTGTCTCTACCACTGCTGGAGGTTGGACTCTGGTCGGTGGCTGCTCTACGGGGCATACATACTAATACAATACTAAATGTGTTGTACCGAGAGAACCAACAAAATAAATGAAATGTTATGACTGTAACTTCTATTTCCTGAAGGAGAGGAATGAGATACTACACTTGTTGCCCTACTGTGCAGCTGGTCTCAGTGAAGAGTGGCGATCGAACTGAAGGATGACAGATGTTTGTATTTGTGGGCGCACATATAAACATCTGCCTACAGGCGTGAAGTGATACAACTATGTGTTGGACCTTGTTTCCTGCAGTGACTCACCTTCGATAACAAAACATTATCGTCAGCAGCCCGGCCACACCTCCGATCACTACTATCACCGCAGTGACAACAGAGACAGCAGACAGCGAGGAGGGTTCTGCATCAGAAGTGAAAGATTCATATATGTTGTACAAGTTTAAATATCTCAGCAATGTAACCAAGGAAAAAAATGATCTATTAATTAATCTGTTCAAAACAAAAGTTACAAAGTGCAAACCAACCTGAGCAAATGAAGTGACCCGGTGTGTTGAGGCACTCCAGGTTTTGTGGGCAGAGAGAAATTTGTTCCTCACATTCATTGATATCTGCAACAATCAGTCAGAAACAACAGAAATCAATGAGACGTTTTGTATCTAATGTTCAGTTATTGATCAGTTCAGTGAAATCATATGAAGATATTTTAGCATTATGATACATGATGATATTAAGTGTTGTCTAAACCAATGATGGAATAGTTGACAGCAATTTCATCTCAAGGTTTATTTAGTAGCTCTTCTGGAGCTTTTGATTGCACCACATGATCTTCCTCAGCAGACGGGAGTTTTCCCAGGTGTCATGTTTACATTCTTCACACACTTCACTCTTGACCTTGTTTTGAAATTATTTGAAATAGATATTTACTTTATTGTCCCCATGGGGAAACTTTTACTTAACTTCAATCAGGTCATCCTTGAGGCCAAGTGGACATTTGGGCCAAATTCTAATAAGTTCTCTAAAGGCGTTCCTGAGATATCGTGTTCAAGGATCGCCAGCGTGGTGCCATGAAACTTAAGTTTGAACGTCTACAATACATATCATGTGATGCACTCTACCACTCCAGAACAGCTAATGTACCTTGTTGGGAAGAAGAGTTTTGCTGAGTTTGTTGTGTGATTTTGCACACATGAACCATATTGTGATGTTGTGATACACTATACTTCTTTAGAGGGACCAGTCATGTCACCAGGCCCTGGTTTAGGCCTCGTACCTTCACACGTCGGGGGTGTGGGGCTCCACTGCTGGCTGTTTGGATCACAGCTGACAGATGAGGATCCCAGCAGCTTGAAGCCGGAGTGACACTGATACAGAACCACAGAGTTGCAGAGCATCGAGTAGCCGGATTGAATCCTGGGTATTGGACCACAACTGGGATCTGAAAGAGAGATCCAGGCAAAGAGACGTTAGAACACAACAAACGAACCTGATATCTCGTCTTCTTTTCACACTTCCTCACCTGCGTCTGGTTCTTTCCACGGGCTGAGGTCGAGGTGGGAGATGAGTGGGTGTGAACAGGCCAGCATGTCCTCCGGTCTCTCGGTGCGTGAGAACGGATCAGTGGGGACGTGAGTAATGTGGCTGTTGTCACATATGATGCGGGACAGAGAGACGCTGCGGAGGTTTCTCTTCTGGGTGCTGGTGAACACTCCTTCCCTCTCCCACCAAAACCTTAGGAGACAAATACAGACTTACCTTCTTTTATCTTAATGATCATTATTTAACATCAGGATTTGGTTTTTACCTGTCCCCATCTCTCAGCGCTCTGAACTGTCTCGCCAGCAGGCAGGACAGGAGTGGCCCGACTCGCCCTCCAGGCACAGCGGGCTCAGAGATGGCCCCCACCCACACATCGATGTTGTGCGGCGTCCCGTACAGGAGCTGGAATTTGTGAGCCAAAGTGAAGTTACTCAGAATTTCAGCCAGGTCTGACGTAGTGTTGGGAACGGAGAGGCTGCAGAACCTTCTCCACGAGCCGTATCCTGATGGGGTGAGACGGGACAGATTAGAGTTAAAAAAACTCAGGACAGAGCATTAAACACAGGGTTTGAATTACCTGAACCAAAGACCACCTCGACTAAATATCAAAGTGAGATAAAACACATCAATGAAATAAAAAAATGGGGCAACAGACCCAAGGTGCTTATTTTGCCTGATTCTTCTTCTCAGGACTGTGTGGGCAGGTACAGATTGGCGACCTGTGTACTGTTGGCAGAGACAGTACTACCGTTGGGATTAAGCCGCCAGCCATGTGGCGCGTTCATCGGTCTGCTGTTGGTACATGTAGTATTTTGTTTCATTGCAGTCGTTTCAAGTTGGCATGTATGCGGCATGTGCCACGCCCAACCAGCTCAACGCGGCTCTGTGCCAGTTGCGTGTTGAAGCGCACCTATTCTTACTGCTACACTGGGTTTGATGACTTCACATAATTCCCAGCAGAGCTCCACCCAGTTTCAACCTGAGATCCAGTCGGCCGGAATAACTGAACACATCTGTGTGGGGGTGTGTGCAGGGCCTTTACATGACGAGGTTCATCAGGATCTGGGTGGCAAAACAATTCTGATCCTTTATAAGGATACATTTGTGTTTTAGTTAAGCCTTTATTTCCACACATCGCTGCTCTACTGTTGATTAAATCAATTAACTACTTTTGTCTCATGACATGTTTATTCAGACAACTACTACTACACTAGTGAGCATCTGGACAGCTGGCTAATTATCACACATTCCCACATCTGGAACTGGCTCATGAATCAACAGACACACATGTAACTCATTATATGAGCGATGGCTGCAGTCATTTAGTTCTAGAGGGCTGGTGTTGTGCATGTTGACTGTTACAATGTCCTATTGTACACAGTATGCACTAAACAAATTAAGTTGTATAAATTATCAACAGGAAATGTCACGGCAATGATTTTCCAAAGATTCAAATTGTTCCTTTTACAGGAATACAATCTGTTAAACAAATGTTGACAGTCAGCAGCGGACTTTCAGTATAAAGTGATACAGTAACACTGTTCTGTGTCAGAAGTAAGAAAGCTGGTACCTGGCAGGCCGTGATCGCGGCCCCTCTGGAGGTTAAGGGCCCCGAGGTCCAGAGGCATACCTCCCTGTGCCTGAAACAGCCTCTCGGTCAGTTCCTCCACCATCATCTGACCTGGAGTCTGCAGCTTGGCCGGAGACAGCAACAAACCGCGCAGCACAGGGTCAATGCCGCCTGACACGCCAGGAGAAAGAGAGAAAACATGAGTAAACTGCATAGTCATTTGAGTGCAGTGCTGACACCATCATTCATTACCTTCCTGCACCACCCTCCAAGAGGCGAACAGTGAATGATGCAGAGGCAGAGGGGGATGCTGGGAGTTAGCGGCGTATCCTGGACCCAGCCTGTTAACCACTGGCTGCACGGTGACGTGGGCAAAACGAAACGCAGCGGCTGCAAAGACGTTAGCGATGCTGGGATCCACCTCTGGATCGTAACCCTCGTAGGGAGGCATCAGACGAGACATGGCGCCCTCACCGAGAACCCGCGGCAGGTAGTGCTCCCATGTTAGGATCTGGAAACGTAGAGGAGGCGGGTCAGAGTGCTGGGAATGCTCATGTAGGCGGAGGTGAATGGATGTCCGGCTGAAGCGGCTGCTGATACCTGGTGAACGGCTCCGATGATCTTGCGGGCCTCCTGATAAAGGGTGTCGGGGCTCCAGTGAGGGTTGAGCAGCTGCAGCTCTTTGACCAGCCGG